CGGCGCGGTGCTGCGGCCCGGCCCCCGCCGCCGTGCCGCCCGCGCGGGGAGCAGCTTCCCCCAGAGCCCTGCTTCAGCTCCCTGAGGGCCCTAGGGTTCCTCTGGGTGTGCTGTGCTTTTCTCAGGCCTTAGACGCCTCTCGGTTCYTAGGGAGCGCTTGAGGCGTCCAGCAGTTTGGTGTTTACTTGATTTGGACTCCCTCGTAGAGAAGGGGCTGGATTCAACTGGTGCTGAAAACTGACTGGCTAAACTTCAACTCCATTGCTGCCGTAAATCACCTGTGACAAGGCTGCATAAACTTGTCTGCGTGTGAGAGATTCTGCTTGCAGGGAAAAGCATCTTCAAAGTGTTTCGTAAGCCTCCTGTGATAAGACATGCACATATATATATCAGTGTGCTATGTAGGGCAGCCTGTAGCTTGAAAGCAGTTGTCTCCTGTGTAGAGGAGTCACCTGCTTAAGAAATCCCAAGGCAAACACTGGGTCACAAGCCTTAACAAACTGCTGTCACAGTTGTCTTGTGACTTCTTCCCCTTTTGAAGTATAGAAGAGTGAGAGCATAAGGCTGACAAGCTAAGGAGTTGCTACAGCTGGTGCCATTTGGCATAGTTGCACCATAGGATACTSTTTGCTTGAGCATCTGAGCAAATTATATTTTTCTATCTGTTTTCAGAAGCACCATTCTATTCAGAAGATGTCTGCCCTTGAAACACTCTTTAAATATGTTGATGACCACCAAGATCTCTATATTGAGGTAAGTGTCCTTTCAAAGGGTTGTCCTGCACTGCAGACAGCTATGGCCTAATAAAAACAGACCAGTGGTCAACTTCAAGCTTGTTAAGTTACACCTGTATAATGTGCCTAAAGATCTGTAGTTTTGTAGGCAACTAGTTCTCTCCTTAAAGAGATGATGGGTGAGTCAAGCCAGAGCACTCCTGTTTTGTTCCTTGAGTTCTGTCAAGGTTATATTTAGTCAGACTTAAATTTTCATGGTACACTTTATTAGAAAAGTGTTTAGTATAGTGAGATCAAGGACTTCAGTAGAGGTAGAATAAGTCTCTGACACAAAGCTCTGGATGCCAGACTGGATTTGTGCTCTCCTCTTCGTGAGCTAAGAGTGGYGGGGAGCACAAACAAGACTAGAACAAAAAGCTTTCTCATATGAAACTGTTCAGGTTGGGATGGGGGGAAGGTTACCTTCTGCACTTTGCAGCTTAGCTCTGCTAATTAATTTCACTTTATCCTGCAGTACTTCACACAATCCTGTGGAGAACGTGTCTGTAAGTGCTAAGCTGCCAGTTCTGAACCAAGCCAAGTGTTCAGATTTGTTTYTCTGCCAGTTCCCCTTGCTGATCTCAAGGGGAGGCAGAGGCAAGGCCTTTCTGGGGAGTTCAAAGGGAAGYAGCTGGTTGTGGATGTGTAAATCACTACTCAGTTTTGTGCCAGCTACGATGCTCTTAATCTCTCCTTCTGTTTCTGTAGAGTGCCTTTGTGCTACCCTGTGAAGTACGCCTGCATGAAAGCTGTAGGGAGGCCTTGAGTGCAATACCAATGGCTAGTGCTCTTAGCTTAGAGAACAGGTGACTTGCATCAAGTTTTAGCTTAAAATGGTATTGCTGGAGTTGCAAGGTACTGTATTCCTGTGACTGCAATGAAAGTTCTAACACTTCTGTCTTTCTGCAGCGGTTGGCTCAGTGGGTGGCAATCCAGAGTGTGTCAGCATGGCCAGAGAAGAGGGGCGAGATCAGGCACATGATGGAAGTTGCTGCCAAGGATATTGAGCGGCTTGGAGGCACAACCCAACTTGTGGATATTGGACAGCAGCAGGTTTGTGAGCATCTGCTTGTGTCAGCTTAGTGAAAAGTCTCTAGAGACAAAGGTCTTGTGGATGATGGCCTAGATAGCCCCTTGGTGAAGGATCATCTCCTTTCAGTCAGAGCTCCCAGTGAAAAACTAACTATGTCTAAAATCTTAACTGGACTCAAACAGGGTGCCAGCAAACAAATTASTTAATGGCATTCTGAACAGGAGTGGGCTGGTGTTGTCCCTTGGGCATATATAGACTGTTAAATTACTCTTCAGGAAGTCTTCAGGAGAGCATTTCCTTTATCACAAGATTGCCCTCCTTTTCTGCCAGGTAAGTGCAGATGCTTACAGGGCAAAACCATCCTTGTTTCCTAGCTGTCCAGATGGCTTTTCCTCACCCAGAGGAAATGTATGTGTTGGAGAGCAGTAGCCTCTTCATCCTGGGGGCCATTCACCTTGTAGGCTCTCCTGAAGTGCCCAGTAGCTGTGAAGCCTTGTAGGATAAGGCCCATCCCAAAGTTGTTAGACCAGTCTGTAGATAATGAGATTTAAAAGGCTCCTTTGCTGGTTGGAGTGTTTGCTCGCTTTCAAAGATGGTTACTGTAGTGTTAGTAACTACTGTGTGAAATCTGAAATCTCTGCTCAGAGGAGCAGCTCCTGCATTGCACTGCAAACAAGCTCTCTACCTGCTTGTAGCACTGCAGCAATGCACCAGCTGACTGTGTACCCTGTTGAGGGCAGGAAGCTCCTAGAAGAACTAGAGTTCTCCTAGAGTTTCTCATCACCAACAGCCTAAAATAACTAAAGGATTTCAGGATTCACTGTCTGAGACAAGTTTAGTTCATTTTCTCAGGGTGACTTTGGGGACTACTGATATTTACAAAGTTTATTAGAAGTAAAACTTTCATTTAGGAAACACTCTTGCAGGAATAAAGTAAAGATTAGCATTTCCTCTTAGACTTAAGGTTTTTGTGAAGCTAGTCAGTGCAATATATGTAATATCCTTCTTTGATAAAGCTTTTATATTAAAGTAACTGGTTAACTTATTTGATCCAGCATGGCTTATTGGTGTAAGGAAATTTGTAGTGAGTACTAATTGTTGTAGGTATAAGCACTTGTGTTACTGCCCTAATTGCTAAAGCTGCAACTGGCTGAGGATGGCAACCTGTTGATAAACATATGAGCTTGGAGTCCATAAGAACAAAAAAGCTGCTGCTGGTCATCCTGCTTGGGCAACATGTATCTGGGAATAATGTGATAATTGCTTTTGGATGTTCAAAAAAGCATCATATTCACTCTTGAACCTAGGATCAAGCTCCAGTGCCATTTGTCTGGCAGCATAGGCTGGTAAAAAGAAATGATAGAAGCATTAACTTTATTTGGGTGTAAGCACGTGCTACACATGGATACTGTACTGGGAGACTTTGTGTATGAGACCCTATTGTGGACAGGACCAAAGTATAATGACATCAGTGCAGAACACAGTTAAGCTGGACTCAGCTTTTATGCTTAGGTCTGCTTTAGATGAAGCAACTTGGCATGTGGACAGCTTGCCTTGCTAAAATCTGAGGTAGGAAGATGAGTTATARCAGTTCTTAACTATCTTGGAACACTAAATGTCTATTACGGAGACTCATCAAGAAACTTTTACTGGCCCAGTGTTGATGCTTCACTGGCTTCCCTCTGCTTCTGGCAAGCAGTTTGGGTAGCTTAGTAATGCAGCTTATCCCAGCTGTCAGAAAAGGCTATGAAGTTAGATGTTAGATGGCATAATGTTAATTCATTTGAAAATAACATGTTCCACACTTAYTGAACTTCTCTGCTATTTTTAGCTGCCTGATGGATCAAAGATCCCTCTACCTCCAATTCTTCTAGGAAAACTAGGCTCAGATCCATGCAAAAAAACAGTGTGTGTATATGGCCACCTAGATGTTCAGCCAGCAGCCCTAGAAGATGGCTGGGACAGTGAACCCTTCACGCTGGTGGAGAGAGATGGTAAGAGCTGTGGGCTTTGACAGCGTGGGGTTTGTCTTCTGTTGTGAAGCTGCCCTCCTGACAGGTGGGAGGGAAGCAGAGATGTAAGTGGGCTTTTGTTAAATATGATGGAAGTAATGATGTGGGGCTGAAATGGTAAATAGAGGAGAGTTGTCAAATCTCAGCTGTTAAGGCTTATTTGCTTTTCTGATGGTGTAGGCTCTACTTGTGTGTTGTCAAAGCAAAGAATTACTGACTGCATGTTAATATTGCTTAGGCTCTTATTAAATGGTGATGGTTTGTTTCTATTTGCTTACCAATACCTTTGTAGAAAAATGATGTTGCAGTGCATAGCTGTGAGACRTTGCAGTGATGTGAAATGGTTCAACTGCCTTTGCACTGCTTAAGTGGGAGAGCTGTTGCAGCCTGTACCTACAGCATTTGTACTTGAAGTTGTGCTTATGAATTGGAAGTGCAAGTCGGCCTGAGCAAAATCAAAATGCTCATTCCAAAYGATTTTGTCTGCTGGAGACTTGAGCCTTCATCTAAAATTTCACCCAGCTAATTACCTTCTGTTTCCACAGGAAAGCTGTACGGGCGAGGATCAACGGATGATAAAGGTCCAGTGCTTGCATGGCTGAATGTATTGGAGGCTTATCAAAAAACTAACCAGGTACGTGCCCCAAATGCATCCTGCTTTTTTATGCATAGCTGAGCAACAGTAAAGGCTACCCAAGCCACAAAGCTGTGGGAGGTGGCTGYGCTTACTCAGCTAATCACAGAAATGATGCAATACTCTAAACTTGCTTACTTCCCGGCAGGGATGAGCTGACTTGCTGGTATGTTAGCCTTGCTGATAGCTGGATTGCCCTTTAAACACTTTTGTTATAATGCAGCATGTAAAGAAAGTGCTTATGTGAGCACCTGAAGCAGGAGGAATAAGCAAATACTTTCCTTATACAGGGATGTCAAATTGCCTTGGCCTTTTGATAGTTTAGCATCTCAGCACTGAATTCAGAGTGATTAACTTGGTAATGTTCAACTAGAGGCTGTCTTCAATTTGCTCAAGCAAATGGCATAAAGAGACATCTTCAACTGTTGCTATACTTTAAAAAAAGAAAAAAAAACTTGCTCTTACTTATGAAGAGAATTGACAATCTGAGTGCTGCCAAGGCAGAGAATGTGAAAACTGAGTGGACAGGGTAACTCTGTAACAACAAGAAGTTACATGCCATAACAAGTGATTCAATGTTAAATCTCCTAATCCTGTGGTGTCTGGCTGCAGAAATCTGTGCTTCAGCACAGTGAAGTTATTTGCAAGATGTCAGCTTGAGAACCTAGCTGAAACTTTTCACAAAATTCAAGTCTTTTGAAAAGGTTGCAAGTACCCTCAATTTAAGTACAGTCCATAGTTACTGCAGTCTGCTTTGGGTACAACTAAAAAAACTGCCTGTGTCTGTTCCACTCTGTATGCAAGAAGGATCAAAATAAATGATTGATAGCTAAAGAAGTCTAATGTTTTCCACATGCTTAATCTGCCTTTTTTGTAGGAGATTCCAGTAAACATTAAGTTCTGTCTAGAAGGCATGGAAGAGTCTGGATCTGAAGGCCTTGATGAACTGATTTTTGCCCAACGAGATACTTTCTTCAAAGATGTGGATTATGTTTGCATTTCTGACAACTACTGGTTAGGCAAAAACAAACCTTGTATCACATATGGTTTGAGAGGCATCTGCTATTACTACATAGAGGCAAGTTCAAAAAAAATGCATGGTCACACCAGTACTACAGAGTTTCTACTAGTGTTAGATGAGTGGTCAACTTCTGTGATAATAGCTTTGATCTAGAGAAGCTGAACTAGATCATTTAAGTAGAACGATTTCTAATGTAATTGTCTAAAGTAGTCTTCCTCTAGCCTGCATGATAGCTATGGGAAAGGAATAGCAAAATATGCCAGGAGTCTTGCTGGAGAATTGTCTTATGAAGTAGATGTCCTTCTCCATTGAAGGAAGTATCTGTAGATGCTGTGACTGTAGATACTGTGACGGTATGTGACTGTTCCCGTCTCTAAGGCTGGTACAGCTGGTTGTATTCTCCAGAATTATCAAAAGCACTCATGCTCTTATATACTCAACTGTATGTTTTAGAACCAAACTGCTCACATTCTCAACTTATGTAGCAAAAAGATAGGATAGTGAATGTTTTGTGCAGTTGCCAGTGTCTTCATGATAAAACTAACTGAATCTCTGAATTCCTTTCAACTCAGGTGGAGTGTAGTGACAAAGACCTGCACTCAGGAGTTTATGGTGGCTCAGTACATGAGGCCATGACGGATCTCATTGCTCTGATGGGTAAGAAAGGGTTTCACTGAATGCAGCTAAAATGCATTTGAAGACCCACTGAAAGGTGTTTGTTTCCAGTGAGGTGGCTTTTAATGGCTGCTTAGACAAGCAAAGTCATAACTGATGAAGTGATGCTTCCCAGGTGTGTGTAAAATGAAAATCTTTCAAAGATGAAGAAAGGTCTTGCCGAGAAGTTGGGTGTTTATTTTTAGCTTTCTCTAAAGTTTATAATTTCTAGTTAAAGCTGTTTTCTCCAAACTGGTACAGATACAGTATTGAACTTGGGTGAACCTGTTGTCAGACACAACAGATAATAGAATTAAATGCAGGTGCAGAGGGCAGATCTTGTATAGCTGCAGGAACAAGTTAGTCCATGATTAATACTGACCTGTAAGATTCTGTAAGTCCTTTCTATGTCTATTAGGAAAGGCTGTTGTGGGGGGAGTCAAGTTTTTATTATTGCCCTTCTTTGTGTATATGCAATTGTCAAAAGACAAASTAGAACTTCCACTTAAATGTGGGAAATGTTGCAAACACTGACATTGTTCATGTGGTTGGCTGCTGATTATAAGTGCTTTTTTTTTTTTGCAGGCTCCCTTGTAGACAAGAAAGGGAAAATTCTGATCCCAGGTGTTAATGAATTAGTAGCACCTCTTAATGATGAGGAGCTGGCACTTTATGAGAAGATTGACTTTGACATGGAAGAATATGCAAGAGATATAGGAGTACCAAAACTACTGCATGATGCTAAGGTATGATACTGTACTCCCTGTGTACCTGGGGTTAGCAGTCCTTGTGCAGGCTGTGTGAGTTCTGGTAGCACTGAGCTTTTTCAGGTGTTCCTGTAGGTACCGAGTAACTCAGCAGGCAGAGAAATTATATAAGAAATATTTTTTGTGCAAAACTTTAACATGCTGCTTTTAATGCTAGATAGGAAGAGTCAGCACAGGAAGAAGTTAGGGGAACTGAGACACTAAACCTACACAAAGGATCTGAATTTCTACATCTATCCACAAAGTTCATTTTGATGTCAAAATGAAGTAGTTGAATTRCTGTTCTCATAACAGCAATTTAGCTCATTAAGAGTAGAATATAATGACCTTAAGCTGATGTTCTTAATGTCTTCCTAGAGCTGGTAAATACTGTCTTATAGTAACAATCTAAGCAAGGATATTTAAATAGACAAGTTCAATAAGTTTGTGTCTGAACTTCTCAAATCTTTATCCTGGGAGCTCTTCAAACAAATGCTYTTAACAGCAGGGAATCTTACAAGTTATGGATTTTACTTACTAATTTTAATGTTAAAATACCTTATATAAATAGGCTTTCTGTCATGCAAGCAGAAGCAATAAGTGTTGCAAGATGTTTATATACACAGGTCTGTCTTTTGTTTCAGTACTGTCAGATTTCAGACTCCTGAGGCACCCCTAAGTGACAATTTTATATGCTCAGTCTTGTGTTKGTGGCCTGCTTCATGTCAACTGAGAGCGCACAAGCTTCCATTTTCTCCCTTATCCTGTAATGTGGTGGATGAAATRCCTTGTATGTGACATGGCATCTTGTACCAGAGCTGGCAAGAGGTTGTGTTCTTCGTATGATACTGCATTAGTGTGTTCACTCTTAGCCAGAGTGAAATCTTAGTTGGAACTACCCTGATGACTGTCATGCACACAAAGGCCTTGGTGCTCAGGAGAGATACGGAAGAGACGGTTGTAATCTTTAGGAGAGAACAGTGTACTTGAGCTTTGAGCAGATAGTTCAGCTCTTCCCTGGAGAAGAGTAAAGGAGTGGTCTGTACCTGAAACAAAAGGARCTGTTAATGTTAAAGTCCACAGAGCATTTTTAATTCATTGGTTTCTACTCTAAAGGTCAATTCTAAGATATTATAGTATCTATGCAGGGCATAGGTGTTTGAATTCATAGTACTCAGTATACTGAGCAGTTGTGTCCAAAGTAGCAAGGAGAAATGAAAGTGTCTGAAGTGGCCTTTTAATGACGATAATAGGTACACATTTTAACCTAGGGCTGAGTTATGCTTAATATATTGATTATATGAAATAGCTGGAATAGAAGAACAGTCTTTGTAATGGCAAAGCTTTTGCAGACTTTGAGCTAGTGTGTGGTTACCTCAGTGAAAGCACCTGCCTGCTTGCTTGAGGCAGTAGTGTGAGATACTCAGTGAGGCAGTGCTCACTGAGTGTCTCCCTAAAGAGATCGGAYGAGGCAGGTGAGCCATGTTCAGTAAGTTCCATAGAACCAGGAGAAAGCCATGCTGGAGTTGCTTAATCTCTGTTATGGTGCTGAAGGAACCCAGCTGCTGCAACAAAATGTGTCTGATGGAAGTAACAGCCTCTTGCAATTTACCTGAGTGGCCCTGAAGGAGATGCCCTCCATAGGAGGTGTTTCCTGAGGATGGSTTTGGAGGGAAATAATGATTTTGGGAATGTTGCCAAACTTCATMTAACCTTCTATTTTTTGTTCTGCAGAAAGATATCCTTATGCATAGGTGGCGATACCCTTCCTTGTCTCTTCATGGAATAGAAGGAGCTTTCTCTGGATCTGGAGTGAAGACTGTGATTCCTAGGAAAGTCRTTGGCAAGTTCTCAATCAGACTTGTGCCAAACATGATTCCTGAAGAAGTCACAAAGCATGTATGTTGACATGGGTTGATGGTCTCTATGTTTGGTGCTCCTAAACTTCTCCTTTGTGGAGAAAGGCTTACAAAGCAGTTCACTTTACCTTCTCAGCTACTGTCTTCCCTGCTTTATRCTTAGCCCAATTATCAAAGGGATTGGCTGTGTGATTTCTCCCACTCTACTGCTGTGGCATTGCTTGTGTTCAGTAACTCCTTTAAGGAAAAGACTTGCAGGCAAGTATTTAGCTAAAGGACACTTGGATTGCCACCAGAACATGATTCCAAAATAGAGCTTGATGTAATGGCTTTGTTACACTGCATACTGTACACTGCAACCTGAAGCTGATTCCAACATCAGAGCAGAGCTACCTAGTAAAATACAAAACTTGCTGCATACCTGTGGTGAACTGCTAGTCTCTACATTTCTGGTATACTGTTTTTACCAGTGCTCATACAAACGCTAACAGTAGATCTGACAGCTCCAATTCTGTTATAGGTTGAAGACTACGTAAGCAAAAAGTTTGCAGAGCTTCAGAGCCCCAACAAATTCAGAGTATACCTGAGCCATGGTGGAAAACCATGGGTGTCAGACTTCAACCATCCCCACTACATGGCTGGGAGAAGGGCCATGAAGACAGGTCAGTAGGATTTTCAGTTGGCATGGGGAAGATGAGACATGTTGTTCCAGCACTTCAGTACTGTGGGGGTCACATGTAGGATGCTTTCATTCTTCTCTACTTAGTGAGGCCATAGGTTTTATGTAACAAAGTGTAAAGCAGGCAACCCTAAACTGGAGCCCAAGATACTATAAGGGAAGGAACTTCATAATCTAATACCAAGCTTGCTCCTATTCTGTTGAACTAAGTCCGTTGGCATTGTCTTGCTTTTGGATAAAGATGACTTCCTTGCCAAAGCTCTTGAAGCTTAGCTGTCCTCAGTTCCCTCTTAAAGTTTCCTTGTAGTCCTAGGTTCTTCTGTGTGGAGCTGGACTATATGGAAAACTAGGAAAAAACTTCTGTGTTAGAATACAGCTGTTTTTATGTGAAATGTGACTTATGCAGCTGCTCATTACTGAACTGTGCAAGTGACAATACTGCGCAGGCTTGACTACATAAAACCAAGTATATCTCTAAAGTGACAGGAGGATTTCTCTGCTTTATTCCAGTTTTTGGAGTTGAACCAGACCTGACGAGGGAGGGAGGAAGCATTCCTGTTACTATTACTTTTCAAGAAGCAACGGGCAAGAATGTCATGCTGCTTCCTGTTGGAGCTGCAGATGATGGTGCCCACTCTCAAAATGAGAAACTAAATAGGTAAGAACTTATTCCTGTGCCAAACTGAGGCTACATTGTGAGTCTTGACAGTCATTCTGAAAATGACTAAATAATTGGACTCTTGCAGTTTTTCTTCAGGTTTTGAGGCATAGTTCTGCCCTATAGCAGGATGGCTGGGGGTAGTTTTGATAGCTGAACTGCAGTTGAGTCTTCATCTCATTGTGGGACTGTTGGAACTGATGCAGTAAGACACAGSTGGTAGGAATGCAGCCCAAACTAAGGCACTGCTAATCCGAGCATCTTCTCTCCAGGTCCAACTACATCCAGGGGGTGAAGATGCTTGGTGCATACCTCTATGAAGTGTCTCAGCTGAAGGACTAAGACCTGACCTTCTGGCTTGTGCTTGAGGTCTGAGTTCCTGCACAATACAACATCAGCTTTCCTTTCTACCTATGCTCCATTGCCTTGCTGGCAGAGAGGGAAGCACTTCTGCTTGAGGAAACCAGAAACACTGTATTGCAAAATACTGCTTCAAATGCCTACTTCAAACTACAGAAAACATTCTTGCTCTTTCTTGCCAGTAGTGCTGAATTGCACCTTTGTCCCCCTGTGTGTCACTTTGATTCCAGCTGTGGTTTGCTGCACTTATCTGCCTCTTTCTGTGAGGCAAGAAGAGCTGTTTCCTGTCAATTGTTAACCAGCCACATGAGTTGCAGAGCTGTCAGCCAAGTTAAAGGTGATTATTTCAAAAAGTCCTGGAAGTACAAGGAATATACTGGAATGYTCAAGCTGTACTGGTGCCATATGTCTTGTAGTTCTGATATATTCAGCAAACAACCCTTACAATCTCCTGCAAGTCTGTAGAGTTTTCCTTACAGCAAATTAAACTGAAACAAAGTCACTGGGGTAATGGCAACTGGCATCTTTTTGTAAAGCTGTCTTTATATTCCTTAAGGACAATAAATCATGTTCTAGCATTTGGCTCATGGTCTCTTAAATTACGTGATTACCTTGAAGTTTTATACTTTCTATTCTGACTACTCTGGGAGAGTCTTTTGATGAGTCTATGTTGCCCCTCTGTTTTTAWAACAAACCACACTTCCTGAGAAAACAACTTCTAGACTCTGTTTCCAAAGTCATTTGCTGACTGAAAGCTCATGTTTCTCAGACCTCCTGTGCTAACAAATTCTGAAAATGTTTTTGTTTAGCTTGGGCTAGGTCAYTGACCCAACGCAATGGTAGTGTAAGGGAGGCGTAGGTTGTAGGGAGGACAGGCAAGAATAGCATTCTTTTCTTCCTGCTGCCTGGCACTCAGCTTCAAGATTTGTTTTAAACTTCTAACTCAGCACTTGTGTTTGAAAGGTTTTCTGAACACATTTGAACTGTTCCTGCCTTTGGTTTGTTCTTTCTCAGCTTCCTGACCTGCCAGGTAGTCAAGTATTTCAAGTGAAGAGGTGGGGGGTGCAGCTGTACTGGGGCCAGAAGGAAGGAAGGCCTCGTTTACCTGGCTCTAACCAGTGTGTGGTCTACAGTATTGATTGGGGATGACTGTTAAGGAAGGGAGGTGACTCTCACTGTGCAACTTCTAAGCCTTTCTTTGCATTGCTTGATTGTTTTGGTTAGTTAATAGCAGAAGCTGAGAGGCAGCCTTTACAAATCTGCTGAACTTGACACTCGTACCTGCAGCTTGGTTGCAAACTGAGCCCTGCCCTGTGCCCCCGGAGGCATTTCTTAGCACCAAGCAAGCAGCTCTGGATGGGTCAGGGGCTCCAGGATCTTGCCTTTCAGTGACAGTGAAACTGTTCTGCAATATCCTGCAGGCAGCACCCCCMGCATGAGCAGCAGGACCAGGCTGCTGTGCCCCATGGTCATGGGTCAGCTGGAGGCTGACAACCTGTGCAACTGGTTATCCCTGTTTCCCTCTGAAATTGCTGGACTATGCGCTGCTGGTTGTTCATATGTAAGGAAGGCTTATTGGGCAGTAGATAAGCTGATAAAGTAGTGATCGATGTTCAGAAACTAAGACATCCAAAGGAGCTCACTTCACTTGCATTTTTTCCTGGTCTGTTAACTCTTTTTTTTTTTTTTTTTTTTTGCTGCGGTCAATGACTACGGAAAAGTTGTGGTATTGCAGTACAGTTGCAAAGCACATTCAGAACAGGGGCTTGGGGAGCGGCAGAGAAGACTGGAAGGTGGATCCAGTTAGTTAAAACAGAAGGAATATTTTTGTCTGTTGTAAGTGCTGGAGAGCAGTGAGAAGGAGATGAAAGTGAGTCTTTGGCCTGAATAAAGTGAAAGGGCCTAATTTAAACACTTAAAAGCTGCTTCAGCAGTGGGGCCTACACGAACTCCAGGAAAGTCGCAGATTGTGTGTGCTCTTTCCTGGCTGTAGTAAAGCTCCGTGTAGCTGCAGCCTCTCCTGCTGCTGCTGAAGGTGATGACAAGAGTCAGTCGTACTCATGTAGTCTGCCTGCCTCAGAGCTCCTGAAGACCCTTGGGAAGCTAACGGGCATTGCAGAGACCGACTTTGTTACTGCTTTGAGCGCTGTGGGTGTATAAATAAGCTTGCTGAAAGGCCCAGGAGCCCGAGTTAGAAGGGCAGCCCTGTCAGAGGGGCCGTCAGGGCCCGGCCCTGTGGGGCGGCCGCGTGAGGCGGCGCKTCCCCCGCGTGAGGGCTGGCGGCCCCACCTGCTGGGTCCTCACCCCACACGTGTGCCGTGGCTTCCTGGGGCGAGGGCCAAGCCCCGTTAGCTGCACGAGCTGCCACGTCATGTATTGACAGCCCTGAACAGACACTTGTTCAGGATTCCCGGGTGAGCTGCCTTGGCTCCCCAGCCCACCTCTGGCTGGGGGAAGGGAGACTGGTTTGGGTTATCCTAGTCCCTATGTCGTGCATTTTTAATGTGCTTAGTAGCTTCTAAGAGCTGGTAATTACAGAAAAATGTCCTTGCCGGCTTCGAGTTTCTTCCTCGTGGTCCTTGTGTACATGTGTAACTGTTCTGATGTTATACTTGAAACAACTTCAACCATGAGCAAATGGCATCCTCAGTTTTGCTGAGCAGAGAAGAAGCATCAGCTCTCCAAGTAAATGTAGGCATATCAAAATGAGCATGGTTGTGTACTTCTCTAACATGGTAAGCGTTTGTAAGTCTTGGTTAAATGTGAAAGCACTACCCATATATGTCAACTTATATAGTACTTTGGCTTATACTTCAAGGCACTGCGGTTTTGTTTGTTTTCTTTTTCTCCTGCTCTCCTCCCCAGATCTAGCTTCTCATCTACTTGGCTGTTAAGGACAAGCTCAGCAGAAGCCCAGCTGCTGTCTGCTGATCAGTGAGATTTTTGCAGGCTTCTAGTTAGCCTAATTTTRTCACAGTGTTAAGCTGCTTCAAAAACTAGAGTGAAAGTACTRAGATCCCCACTGGTGCCTTCTCCAAGATAACTTTGTTTTCCATGTTCAGATCCTCTTCAGCTAAACTTCCTAAAGACGTAAAGGTATCTGCATCTTGACCGATAATTTTCTTTCACTGGATTAAATAACTTTTAAGTCAGCAGTGGCTTTCTGGAGAAAAAAATGGGAACCAGTAGAACTAGTTGCAAAGAAGAAATTGCAGTATGTAAGTAGGCAGCTGACAGCAAAATCAAAGCATCTTCAACCTGCCCTGCTTCCTAACCTGCGCTGCAGGCCTGTTTGGCAGTAGCTAAGCAGGAGCCCTGAGGATGGTGATGGCCGGAGCTGCCGGCTCTAGGCAGCTCGTGCCTTCGGCTGGGGGAAGGTTGCAGCAYGTGCTGCCGTCATCAGGAGGAGGTTTGGCCTTTGTCCCCGTGCTGAGGCTGCTGCCAAGCCGTGTGTAGCCCTCTGTCTAGGGGCACTTGGTTGCATGCACTTACAAGAGCAGCTGAGTTTGCTCTGAGCTGTCACCCCTGAATGAATAACCCCTGTTTTTTCAAATGTCAGTTTCTTCTTCCCTTCCTTTCTGCTACCAGGAGGCAATACTTGTGTATTAAAAATGCTTCCAAGTTTCTGCAATGGGACAATCCATTTTAGGTTTATCAAGACACAATGATTCCTAATTAGAAGTTGTTTAACTTTTAAAAACAGACTTTAGTTTAGCATAATAAGTTTTGATGTACTGGCAATTAAATTAAAAGCTATTTCTCTGTAAGACTATGATGGACTATACTAACTTCAAGAACTTTAGATTGGTGATCTTGACCTTGAGGCAAAGTAAAGAATTGAGGTAGATTTAGATAAAGAGACTGGGCTTATTCTTTCTTTCAAAGTATTAGCTTAAAARCCTTACCATTTTTCCAATATCATCTGAACACACTTAATTAAAATAGAACAGATTCGCCCATTAAATATGTTCTTACATTACTACGCGTCAGCCTGGATAAATCACTTTCCTGATGATTATTAAAGCTGTGCAGAGCATTTAAATCACTCTTCAGAGAACCTGCTTAGACTACACAGTCTCAGTAGTGGAGGGTTTTGATTCCAGTCCCTTGCTAGCTTGATTATACTGTTCATATCATCATGTTAGGTTATGACAAACTCTGAATGGTAATGCATTTTTTTCTATGACTTTAATATTAATTTTTATTTTAATTTTGCATATCTCTGGAGATTCTGAGATTCTTGCAGACTGTTTCAAATGCATGCCAGTGAAATGCATGAGCTGATGCTGCTGCAGTGGTACGTGGTGTCCTCCTCCTGTCTCATCAGACTCATGTCCCTAATGAAGGGGACAGCACATGAGCCTCTTACRTTTCTGCCCTTTAGACTGAAAAATGGGACCCCAAGTACATTTGAAGAGCTGCTTTTGTCACTGTTGCTGAGCTGTGCTCTGCCTTGGAGAAGTGGCTCTCCTCCAAGCACTGCTGTTGAGTCACACGACTTACTGTATTTTCAGGTGGGTGGCCAGTTCACAAAAAGTAAGAGCTAAAGAGCTAAGAGTAAAAGTAATTCYCCCAAGATAATTTTAAAAGTAATTGTATAGTTGTAGTTTACAGAAACAGACTTGACGTGCAGCACAGAGCCTGCCTAGTCTGCTGACATGGCTTTGCACTCGTTTGGAAATTATTTTTAACGAGATGGGGCTGGCTTGAACTTTTGAGAATTTTTAGAGCTTCATATAGTTCTTGGAAGCTCGACTCACATCTTGGAGTTGCCCAGCACTCACAGATAAGTTTCAATATATTAAGAAATCAGCCTAGAAGTCCTTACTAAGTCAAAAGTAATTTTACCGAGGGAAGTATTTCTGAGGAAAGGGATAATAAATTGCTGTTTTTTAACTGCAGATGAGTTCGCGAACTACTGATTGGTTTTGCGTAGAAATGCCATGAAAAGTACCAAACACGTCTGAGCCATTTTTCCCTTGAAAGAAACTACAGAGAACAGGAGCACCAGACAGGCCCGGTGTAAAAATAATGGAAAACTGTGCTTTGTAACGTTGCCAGTCCCTCTGTGAAAGTGTTGCCATGTGATGTGACAAGCAGTGGGGTTACCAGCATTAACGTTCAAGCTGATGTGTTCTGTTCTCTTAGCGTGCTGTGGTCCCACATCTGTCTTTGGGCAAGGAGGACGCAGATCCCGGCGAGGCAGCGGTCACCTTGGGGCYGTGCTCAGCAGCAGCCGGTGAGCGGGATCTCTCCCGAACCCAAAGCGAGTTCAGCTCCTGACCTCGTTGGAGGGAGCTGCGAGGGCCTTGGCCCTATGTTTTCCTCTAGCTCCTTTACTAATTGATTTATATGGAAGAAACTTTCAAT